CCTGCAAAAGGAGTGTTGAATGGGATCGACACTTCGATTGGGTACATCCCAAGTGTGCTTTTCAAGTGTCGTGTGACACCTTAAACGGTGTTTAAGGGATGACATGGCACACTCAGTACACCTAACGGGTGTTATGTTTTCTCTGTAACACCAAAAAAGGTGTTGGATGGGAGTTGAGACACCTCGATTACACCCCAAGTGTGTTATTTCAAGTGTCATGTGACACCTTAAACGGTGTTCAAGCAATGTCATTACACCAATAACGGTGTTCAACGGGGTAATGACACTGCTATGAGTGTTGAATGGGAGTTACGACACCTCGATTACACCCCAGGTGTGCTCTTTCAAGTGTCGTGTGACACCTTAAACGGTGTTTAAGTGATGACATGACACTTTCAATACACCCAGAGGGTGTTTTGTTTTCTCTTTGACACCAAAAGGAGTGTTGAATGGGAGCTACGACACTTTGAGTACATCCCAAGTGTGCTTTTCAAGTGTCGTGTGACACCTTAAACGGTGTTTAAGGGATGACATGGCACCCTCAGTACACCTAACGGGTGTTATGTTTTCTCTGTAACACTAAAAAAGGTGTTAGATGGGAGTTGAGACACCTCGATTACACCCCAAGTGTGTTATTTCAAGTGTCATGTGACACCTTAAACCGTGTTCAAGCAATGCCATTACACCAATAACGGTGTTGAACGGGGTAATGACACTGCTATTAGTGTCATGATACACCATTAATGGTGCTTAACACCCATAATACACTGATAAAACACCCGACCAGTGTTTTATATTTTTTCAGTGTTGTTACATAGAAATTAGAAACTTTGAATGGCATGGCAATTTATAATTTTAAATGACAATATTTTTATGTTTCTTCTGTAGGTAGGTAGGTAGGCAGGTAGGTAGGTACACCAGACTGTTATGGACACTTTTCCAAGTTGGTGGGGCAAAAAACCTAATGTATGTCTTGGTTTGAGTCGTTTGATTGAGTTGATTGATTCCTTTCATTGTCGCGTTTGAGTCGATTGAATCAATTCCCGAAAACTGCTCTGACTTGATTGATTTGATTGGTTTCCCAAATTTGTCGTGATTGAATTGATTGCTATCGATTGAGTCGTATACAACCCTGGTCACCAGAAGTCATCAAGGTAAAATTTAGTCCATTTCAACAATTTTGGAAACTGCCAACGGCTAACTCGGGAACCAATAGAGCTACAGCGCCTCGGAACGTGTTCCTTTCGTCGAGACGCGTCGAATGAACTATACGTTGACCTTGAAAGGTAATTTTGAAAATTTGACCGCACGTCAAGGTCATGACCTAACCGGAATGGGCCATGCTGCATATCAGTCGATCCTTATCGTCGAGCTGACCACATCTGACGTGTTTTCACCGCTCTAGCACGTCTCTATCAAAAGTTATAGCCAAAAAAACTGCTGGTGACCGTTTATGACCTGAGATGACCTCAAGGGCACACAAAAGGTTAACAGGTGCATTTTTACGATTCAGTGTGTTATGTTTACCTATGAACCGATGTTTGGAGGGTTTTAAACGACATTCGTCCGAAAGAGGCGCATTTCACTTTTCACCCACTGACTTAACCCTCGCCCCGTTGGGGGGGGGGCCATTTTGGCCCCCCCCTGTGGTTTTTCCTGAATAGCAAGAAAACGGCGGCGCGCAGCGCCGCCAAATTTTCAGTACCTTCCCGGGCATCAATTTGACACCTTCACACCAAATTTCAAGTCTTAGGTCACCTTAGGTCAGGAGTTATTGAGGTCAAACTGAGGTCATGTTCGAGCAAAAATGAGCAAAAAACATGCAATCTTGAAACGCTCACCAAATCTACAGTTATCAAGCAATTTCAAAGTTCTTTATATGGTCTAGTAGACAAAAAGCGGCGCTACAAAACTGCTATCTCGGATTTTCAAAATTTTTGGTTTTTGACCAAAAAAAAATCAAAAAATTGATTTTTTTAGAAAAACTTTGAAAAAATCCAAAATTTTTCCGAATTTCGAAAAAACCGGAATATATGTGATAGTCCCAGCGCTCTTCTATATACATACCAAATTTCAGATCGATATCTCGTTTTTTGGCCAAGTTATAGCGAAAAAACTGTTCAAAAATGATGACGTCAAATTTTTGAACTCAATTTTTAGCAATTCTAGACCACGTACGGCAAAACAAAGACCACCATTGAACTCCCCGTGACGAGCTGCATCGATTCGATACCCATTTTATGCAAAAACATTAACTTTGAAATTTGACCTAATTTGACCTGACCTTGACCTGACCTTGACCTGACCTTGACCAAAACGTGATCTAAGCTGGCCCCAAAGGCTGCCTGACCCATATAATCGCATTTGTCATGTAAAATGGACCATAAAACATGTATCACACGACACTTTCATATTGTGACTCCCCGTGACCTGACCTCTGTGACCTGACCTGGTATCAGTGACCTCAAATAGCAAAATATGTGTTTGAAGAACATTTCCCCATCGATGATTTTCAATGGAATGCATTTTACTCGATTTTACAACGCATTTGTTGAAGTGCCTGTAAACGGTGAAAATTGGACCTTTGACCTGACCTGTGACGTCATCGGTTTGACCTAGGTCAATAAAATTGGGTCAAAAGGTAGTTCCCCGTTGGGGCTATCCAACGCCGTTTACCGCTTGTCGCTATGTTGCGTGGTTCTCGAGATCTTAGGGGGGGGGGGCCAAAATGCCCCCCCCCCCCAACCGGGCGCGTTGCTCGGCAGAGCCCAACGGGGCGCGGGTTAAGGTCCCAAAATTGACCTGACCTTAGGTCACAGAAATAAAAAGTCCGAGATGAGCATCTTATACATATTGTTAGTCTTATCAATCTCTGGAAGTTTCAAAAGTGATCGTTCAGTCGTTGTAGCTATAGCGGGCCTTTTAACTTTTTTGAGGTAAGGCCACTTGACGTGCCCTGGTGAACTGACCTTGAACGTCCCTGATCTAAAATTTTCACAAGCTGTGTAGAAAAGATGTATGAACAGGTGTAACAAAAACAGCGGCGCTGCGCGACGCTGTTTTTTAGATATTCGCGAAAAAAACCTAAGGGGGCGGAACCTTCCCTTTCAGCACGGCGCAGATTAATGGGAGACAATTGAAATGCTCTTCTTCTGAACGAAAACAACCTCAAACATCGGGATTCAGGTAAATATGACACATTTAATCGGTAAATGTCACTCGTGATGTGACCACTTTTATGTTACTGAGGTCATCTCAGTTCATGAAAGGTCTCCAGTAGATTTTGGACAATAACTTTTGATAGAGATATGATAGACCAATGAAACACCCTATATAATTATTTTCCTTCTCAAAAATATGGATCGACTAATATGCAGTATGACATTTCCCGGTTAGGTGATGACCTTTACTTTAGGTCAAATTCTCAAATGCCCTTTTAATGTCAAATTCTAGTCCATTTGACTCGTCTGTCTCGAAAAAATGGAACACGATGCTGGATAAACTAATCTCGTGCAGGTCTGAGCCCAGAGGTAGTACAGATAAACGTCATCCGCGAAAAGTATATTTTGAGGCTAAAACGTTTACCTTAGGTCAAATCTGAGATAATCAATAAGAGAGAGCATAAAAAGAGCTATCGAATATGCGCTTTGCTGCGGCGCTGTAGCTCAATCTGTTTCTGAATCCTGACATGCGCCGCTTTGTCAAAAAATGTCAACATCGGCGAAATTTGATTTTCGGTTGTCGCTGGTGACCTGACCTGCGACCAGCTCGACCTAACCTTAAAAATGATCTAAGTAGGGCCGCCTGGCTGCTGCATCTTGAAAAGGGCCCTTGGTGTCGATGAGAAAGCCCCATTGTCCAATAATTGCCTAGCGTCAGTGGTTTCTTGAATGGGGCGGGGCGACCGAAGTCTCCATTCAGTTCCGCGTCAGTGACTACTGGAGGGCGTCAACGACCTCGGATAGGGCGAATGTGATCTTCAGAAGGGCACCGGGTGCTCTAGAGGGGTGCAATGCTTGGATGGGGTCACTGCTGCCTTCAGTAGGGCGTCGGACGCTCTGGAGGGGCGCCATTGATCTCGGATGGTCCGACTGGGATTTTCAGAGGAGCATCAGTGGTTTCAGAGGGGCGCCATTGATCAAGGATGGGCCGACTGAAGTACCGGTTCAGGTAGGCGCCAGTGGCTCTTGAGGGGCGCCAGCGACCTCGGATTGATGGGGCGACTGTGATCTTTAAACGGCGTTGAGGAGCGCCATTAGGCATGGATGGGGCCACTGTTGCCTTCAGCAGGGCGCTGGAGGGAGGCCCTGGAGGGGCTTGAGCTTGGGTGGGCCGACTGTAGTCTCCAGGGGCGTTGTCTCGGATGGGGCGAATGTGTTTTTCAGAGGGGTGCCGGGTAGTCTAGAAGGGCGCCATTGGTTTCAGAGGGCTGCCATCGATCTTAAGATGGGACAGCTGTAACCTTCGTTTAGATGGGCGCGATCTTCAGAAGCGCGCCGGACGCTCTGGAGGGGCGTCATTGGGCTTGAATGGGGCGACTTAAAGGTAGTGTGCCACCTTCCAAATTGGAAGGTGGCACACTACCTTTAAGAACCTGGCGATGCACCTACCTACCTTTCCGCACTCAACAGGAAACGTTTTTTTAAATCCAGATGATAAAGTGCAAGGCCCTATATACTAATAAGTGTGATTAATTAATAATTCACATCTCCACAGTCCACATCTCCTCAGAAACAACCCACTAAACTCTATAAATATCTGAAACCCCTACAAAAATAACTGAAACAAAAGCGCCGTTTTCGTCTCGCTAATTACGTTTACGTGCCTAATTAATCGCTAATTTGCTGCATTGTTTAATTTGCAGCAGAACGTTTGTTGATCATTTTCTCCTGAGAGCCTAAGCATAACATTTTTAATATATTTCATTTTACTTATAATATTTTACCGAATATTATTAAGTGGTTTTATTTCAAATGAAATAATAATGAAAACGAATTTGGTGTTGTACAACCGATTTATTTTATGATGATCTACCATACTACATGATAATCAATGACGTCATCTTACCAAAATATCAGAAGACGTAGAATAAGGTTTTATAAAAGCTTAGCATACTTATTGGCAAAACGTTTTCATTATGTTCCTACTTCCTTTGTCCTTAACTTATCCTGTGGTTCCAGAGTCCCTGTCCTCTCCATTTCCTTTTAAATATATTTTTAATCCTCATCCCTATCCCCCCCTCCTAACAGTTTCAAATTGTATTGCAATAAAATGTTTTGAATTCCTCACATAGGTACCTAACATCATGACATGCCACGTCCAGAGTCGTGGACAGCTAAATACTTCAAATATCTTCCTTCCCAATCTGACAACATCCCACGTCTCAAATGCACATTGTATGGAAAGATTTTTCAGGCTGCCCGTCAGTCTCTGTCTAACCGAAACCGTCACATGCACAATGCAGGTAAGATATTTATTTCTATTTCCCTATGGTTAATATGTTATTGATGCATATTATCCATTAAAATAAACATGGTGTAGGGTAAATGGCCAAATCACGAACACTGCCAAAATCCGAGCAGCCAACTTTCAACTGCAATATCTGATATTTAGTGTAAATGGAGTTGGAATATGGCCAAAATTAAATTGACAACTTTTAGGTGAAAGGTGGTGATTTGGGTTAAGGGGCGAGTCAACTACTGGGTTATTTTGCACCCATTCAATGAAACTTCTGCTCAAATTCTACCCATTGAACCTCAATATCATGATCCACCTGTCCATCACTAGGTATTCTTCCTTATTACATAGAAACTTTGAATGGCATATTGGCATGGCAATTTATAATTTTAACCCTATTCCTGGCGGGGGGGCCTCAGGAGCCCCCCCCTGAGGTTTTTTGGTTATATCTCCCAAACGCGTTGAGCTAGGAAGCTCAAATTTTCTGACTTTTCCTAAAAGGCTTCTACGCAACATGTCTGAAAATTTTGAGTTGATCTGACCTCATGTCAGGTCACCAGAGGCGGTTTGGTGACGCTACCTCAGAAAAGTTTGCAATCACGCCAGAGCTAGAGTTTTTGACCGATCAATTTCTTCTCTTCAGGGTTTAGTTAGGGTACCAGTATGTGCAATTTGTATATCTCGGAATTTTGATATCGGTGACCTAAGGTCAGGTCAATTTCGCGACCTCCCCATTATAAGTCAATGGGGGAAAAATCAACTCCCTGTTTTTACTACTAAAGCGGGTCGGAATGGCCCCATATACCATACATGACTTCATATACGATCAACCTTCACTACCTTGAGGTCTGTTTTGCTGTTGGGCAGCTGTGAGGTCATGTGACGTCATCAAAGGTCACCAAAGGTTTTTGGCCAATAACTCCGTACAGGAACAAGATACAGACGCGTGGATGGTCTCATTGTGTTCAGCTCGTCAAGACGCATCGAATGATATACATGATGACCTCGAGGTCACGTGACCTGAGGTCAACCTTTGACCTTGACCTTTCGAGGTCAACATATATATCATTCGATGCGGATTGACGAGAGGATCACGATGATGCCCTTAGTTTGTTCCTATCTTGACTAATTCGAAAGTTATTCGAGAAAAACTCTCTCCATATCTAGTGCCGCCATTTTGACTTTTTCGACCCCTGTGACGTCATCTTTGACCTGACCTGAAAATGACCTTTGTAAAAATTGTAGATCTTGGCCGTGCGTATCCGATGCCGTTTACCGCTTGTCGCTATCTTGCTTCGTTCTCGAGATCTCAGGGGGGGGCCGAATCGGCCCCCCCCCCCGCCAGTTTCTTGTCCCGGCGGAGCCCGCCAGGAATAGGGTTAAATGACAATATTTTTTATGTTTCTTCTGTAGGTAGGTAGGTAGGTAGGTACACCAGACTGCTATGGACACTTTTCCAAGTTGGTGGGGCAAAAAACCTAATGTATGTCTTGGTTTGAGTCGTTTGATTGAGTTGATTGATTCCTTTCATTGTCGCGTTTGAGTCGATTGAATCAATTCCCGAAAACTGCTCTGACTTGATTGATTTGATTGGTTTCCCAAATTTGTCGTGATTGAATTGATTGCTATTGATTGAGTCGTATACAACCCTGCTAGTACCTCAACTTTTAAATCACCCCGTGACGTTACACTAATATTCCACGCATATGCCACAAGCATGGACACTATCGAAGGGTGTGCATTGAACCCCTTCCCCCTCTCACCACAATACGAGACGAGTAATATACACGATTAACGATGAAACTTGCTAGTTGAGGCTGATCAGTTCGTCCATTTGCCGTCTCCCCTGTTCATTTGCATATACCGGCATTACATGTGTGATCTGAGGTATATCTTATCACCTCTGACATTGAGGAGTCTGAGGCCCTCCGGCAGCTGCCCCCTCAGTAGTGGGAGGTCGGCGGCGGTAACTGATAGGTCCTGCAGCCCACGGCACCTGGTGAGGGGCTCCAGGCTGCCGGCCGTGTGATCAGTACAATCTGGAAAACACGCAGACACACATATAGACAGGATCATTTGGCTGTAATACATGTCGATATATGACAAAACGAAAAAACACCTAATAACTCACATGGTTTTATGGACGCAGTAGACAATGGTAAAACAGTGCTATTATATGATATATGCAATGTTAAGCAAATGCATTGAACTTCATTGAACAGTGCAACACAATTGTTATGAGTATGATCAACTAACTCTGAACGAATATGTCACTGAGTAAACAGTCCTCCATTTTGGAGCTCAATTGGCTTCATTATTTCGCAAAGCACATTGGCTATGTATCACTTCTGTCTCCATGAGGTGCGACACCGGCACACCGTTACTCGATGTCCGCCATTCGCTGAGCTCGTATATCAGCGGCCTGTCCGTGCTGCCGCTGCTCACCGTATATCTCCAGTCGTTTGACCGTCCGTCTCAGGTCAGCCAGGTGACTGATGGTGTCGGCAGCCACCCCCTGGAGCAATACTGACAGACCATGAAACCACGGTTTCCATTCCGGCCACCTCGGCTCCGTCACCTCCGGCCCTGTCGGACAGAGCTGTGTCAGCTGACTGCAGTCGGACAGAGCTGCCGCCAGCTCCCCGCTGCACCACTGACACCAGAGTGTCAGACACTGACACAGCCAGCACTAACACATCCGAGCGGCTGCACAACGATATTTTTAGCAACAGCATACATACGTAAATATGCAAATAGGGGCAATAGGGTATTACGATTTTTGCAAGGCACATTGGCCTAGGCACTGGGCAGCCAGTCATGGTATAGTAACGGATCAGGTTGGTAGAAAACATAAATATATGGTTCGCAGTGGTTGCAATGAAACCATTTCAAATTACCATAATTGCTACAATAATATTTCATGCATGCACTTGATGCTCACACTATATGCAAATGCATGCATTGCATCACTCTAACAATACCATATAACACAAACAAGGCTGTAAGATGTTGGCTGAATTCGAACGGTTCGTCCATTTGCCGTCTGTCTCCCTGTTCATTTGTATATCCATGTGCATTGTCCATTATACCGGCATTACATGTATGATCCGTGGTATCTCACCTCTGACATTGAGGCGCTGGAGGCACTCCGGCAGCTGCCCCCTCAGTCGCGGGAGGTCGGCGGCGGTGACTGACAGCCGCTCCACAGTCTCCCGTGAGCTCCGCAGCTCCGTCAGCTCGCTGTCACCGACTCCGGCCGGAAGGATGACAGTGTTTGGCTCCACCCTGATGATGGCACCACGAAGTTGACTTGGAATAGTAGTTATTTGTGCTGGAAAGGTGATTGAACCAATGTCAGGCATTAGTCTAGCTCAAACATAGTACACTTACCTACAGGTGTAGAAAACACAAAGTGAAAACTGTTTGTGGCTACAATGCTGTGATAATTCCGTGTCTGAGTGAGTATGTACTTTATCAAAACGATGTGAATTTCATAAATTACGGCGACTTTCCATAACAGAATATTCAACAAATAAAATGATAATGGGTCTTTGACATATAAAATAAAAATCGCAATTAAATTAGTAGATTATATTCCGAACTAAGACATATTTTCATGATGTCAATTGATCAATCTGACAGCTTTTGAATCCTTTTCACTTAACCCTATTAGTGGCAGGCTCCTGGCTACCCCTATTAGTGGCAGGGGGGGGCTGTTTACGACCCCCCTTGATATCTCGAGATCTAACGGGCCGATTTTCGAAATTCAAACGGCATTCGATTTCGCTCAACGTGATCTACATTTCTAAAAAATAAAAAATAAAAATGTTAATAGGGGGGTAGAGGGGGGTAAAAACGTGCAAATTGCAGATACATTTTAGACTGTTTATCACGGCCAGGTTTCTGAACCAATCTTAACGCAACTTTTGCCGATCGATAGAGAATGAACCAGGAATTCACATGGATCCTAAAAATATGCATTTTCAAAAATCATAGGCGGATACAGATCATTGAGATTGGGGGTACACAAAAAGTATAGTAAATAAGGTTTTTGTTGGTACTGTTTCTAAAAAGGGTGGTAATGGTCTTGTTATGTTACAATTTTCTTATGAGAGAACGACTTCAATTGTATTGGTCATGCATAGGCGGTGTCACGGCACCTATGTTGGGAGGTAAAACATAACCCCCCTTTTTGGACGCCTGGATCCGCCTATTATAGCAAAAACGTGTCAAAAGAGGATGCACAATAACTGTATATGTTATCACATATTACCTTTCATTCACTGTTCGTAAAACTGGTGCAGCATCGTGATCTTCGCCCAAATGACTCGCTTCACGAATAGGACCCCCCAATTCCCAGTGCTCTGGAGCCGCCCCTGGTAAAGTTATGAACTTGAAATTTTCAGGGAATGTGCCCAATTAAGTTTTAGGAAAAGTCAGAAAATTTCAGCATCGTAGCTTTAGCGGTTTCGGAGATATTCCCGAAAAACCTGAAGGGTGGATAAAAACACCCCCCTGCCACTAATAGGGTTAAGTATTTTGTTCAGCTATTATGTGTAGCTAATTATTTCAACTTTCTATCGTTATAAATTTTATAGCGTAAATATTACGTCCATGACAGGCCCAAATTATTGACCAGCACCATTCACCACACGAATTGTCATTCTACGGCTTACCAAATACCATGGCTTATGGCTTCCGTCTTACCTTAGGATGAGGGAGGCAGCATTACCTACAGTACATGTAATATGTGTTGTATCCAGTTATTCCTGGTTTGATTTAGGCTTCAGAGTGTCGGGGATAAACTGCTTCCCCACGTTATTTATAAACATTTGCTAGAAAAAAAAAAATAGACAGTACCTTAGAGCAAAAATCACAAGCAAGGAACGGTGCCGCCGGCCTGTTTCTCCGTTCTTCGTGTCCCCGTGTCGCCCCCTGCCCCGTTCAGGAGCGCCCGGCAGCGCCACCTGCACCTGACCAGTCCGGCAGCGTTTGGGGTCGCCGCGCACCGCCGACAATCAGCTGACGCGGCCGGCAGCGCGTCTCAAGGTCACTGGAGGTCAGCCGGGCCGCGGCCCGCCGGGGTGGCCGTGACGTCACAGCCAGAGAACGCTGAGCGCCGGAACAGCTACTGTTGTTTATCCCTTCCTAGCCATTCATATATGAGTAACTTCAATCGTTGCTCACCATCCGTGACTAGTAGCGTAATCCGTGACCCCAGCTCCGTGGCCAGGTGACTTATGGTGTCGGCAGCCACCCCCTGGAGAGATACCGACAGACCACTCCCGTACCGTCCAGGCCACCTCGGCTTCGTCACCTCCGGCCCTGTCGGACAGAGCTGTGTCAGCTGACAGCAGTCGGACGGAGCTGCTGCCGGGTCGGGAGGCGGCTGACACTGTGGTGTCAAACCCTGACACAGACGACACTGACAACGCCAGGGTCGATCGGCACTGTTGGACAGTAATTGAACACTGTGCACAATGCATGCGCTATGCTTATACATGCGTCAGTTAATTAACCCGCGCCCTGGTGGGGTCTGTTTATAACGCGACCTGGTGGGGGGGGGGCTATTTTTTGCCCCCCCCCTCGTATCTCCGAAACTACTGGACGGATCCGCAAAATTCAAACAGTGTTCGATAGCCCTGTCAAATTTGTCGAAGGAAACCAAATTTCATTGACCTCGGGGTCACCGATGACGTCACAGGTCAGGTCAAAGATAAAATGTTTCACCGTTCACGGGGCTTCTAGGGAAAGCGCTATAACACCGAGTAAAACGCATTTTGTCGAAAATCAGCGATAAGACGTCAGTTGTCTAGTACATATGTTGCTATTAGAGGTCACTGGTCATACCAGGTCAGGTCACAGGTCAGGTCACCAAAGGTCACCAAGGGTCACCACATGAACCCAACTTTACTAAGGTTGTGCGATGCATGTTTTATGGCCAGTTTTTCATTTCCAACCCAACGGTGTTGGTTATAAGACCATCAGGTACGGTTTAGGTCACTTTCTGGTGGAGGTCAGGTCAAGGTCAGGTCAAAAAAGGTCAAATTTCAAAGTTGATATTTTTGCATAAAATGGGTATCCATTCGATGCAGCTCGTCACGGGGAGTCTAATGGTGGTCTTTGTTTTGCACTACAAGGTCTAGAATTGCTAAAAATTGAGTTTGAAAATTTGACGTCATTAATTTTGAACAGTTTTTTCGCTATAACTTTGCCAAAAAAGAGGTATCAATCTAAAATTTGGTATGTGGATGGAAGGCGGTAAGGACTATCACATATATTCCGGTTTTTGCGAAATTCAAAAAACTTTTTGGATTTTTTGACTATTATATCCAAAAAATCTATTTTTTGATTTTTGGGGGTCAAAATAAAAAAATAAAAAATCCGAGATAGCAGTTTTGTAGCCCTGTCAATTCTACAGCTTTTATGTCCTAAACATTTTTCTGTATTTGCAAAGCTATAGGCCTGACAGCTCTTCCCGCGAAACCCTTTTTTGGGTCGAAAACGGCAGAACATGACGTCACTCTGACGTCATTTCCGGCCAACCTATCATAGCTTTTGGAAAAATGTTTGGTCACAAGGTGTAAAATTGATGTCCAGGAGGGTACTGAAAGTTTGGTGACGATCGGCGCAGCGGTTCTGGAGATATATCGAAAAGTCTGGAGGGGGGGCAAAAAATAGCCCCCCCCCACCAGGTCGCGGGTTAATACAGTTCAGTACATAAAGGTCATACAGGTTCAGTACATACAGGTCATATTCGTTTGCAAGAGTATAAAGTAGGTATGTACAATACAGTGGCTAATGTTTGTGTAGCAGGTAGGTAGCATGGCACACATATGTCCGCTGAACGTTTATCACTGAAACTGTTACTTTATGTGAGCTATGTAAGTACCACCATTCAGAAGTAATAGTACGCGTTTCCTCAACTATTTCTCACCGGCAACGTATAGCGTCCTCAGTGACGTCGGCAGCAGCCGCAGCCACCGCCCCGTTCCGAAGGACGGGACTCTGACGGTCAGCTCCTCCAAGCGGGGAAGACTCTGCAGGAGCGCCGCCAGCTGATTCTCGCCAAGGGCTGACGGAGCGTCGAACGTCGTCACGGTCCTTAGCGCCTCTCTCAGCACTGTGGTATCACTGTGTGCCGATGGCTGGGGCTCCGTCTGTACCGTGACGTCATGAAACGCTTTTGTAATTTTACTGAAAAGACAAGAAAAAGAACATAAATCAAAATGCAAAAGAAGTTCACAACTTTAGTTGGCTCCTTTGATGATCCGATATGCATTTAGGTAGGGGAGAGAGGTCATATTGCGCCACCTTAACCCTATTAGTGGCAGGGGGGGTTGTTTTCATCCACCCCTCATGTTTTTTCGGGAATATCTCCGAAACCGCTGAAGCTACGATGCTGAAATTTTCTGACTTTTCCTAAAACTAAATTGGACACATTCCCTGAAAATTTGAAGTTCATAACTTTACCAGGGGCGGCTCCAGAGCACTGGGAATTGGGGGGTCCTATTCGTGAAGCGAGTCATTTGGGCGAAGATCACGATGTGCAGCATCGGATGCTGCACCAGTTTTACGAACAGTGAATGAAAGGTATCATGTGATAACATATAAAAAATTATTGTGCATCCTCTTTTGACACGTTGTTGCTATAATAGGTGGATCCAGGCGTCCAAAAAGGGGGGTCATGTTTTACCTCCCAACATAGGTGCCCTGACACCGCCTATGCATGACCAAAACAATTGTAGTCGTTCTCTCATAAGAAAATTGTAACATAACAAGACCATTACCACCCTTTTTAGAAACAGTACCAACAAAAACCTTATTTACTATACTTTTTGTGTACCCCCAATCTCAATGATCTGTATCCGCCTATGATTTTTGAAAATGCATATTTTTAGGATCCATGTGAATTCCTGGTTCATTCTCTATCGATCGGCAAAAGTTGCGTTAAGATTGGTTCAGAAACCTGGCCGTGATAAACAGTCTAAAATGTATCTGCAATTTGCCCGTTTTTACCCCCCTCTACCCCCCCCCCTATTGACATTTTTTATTTTCATTTTTTAGAAATGTAGATCACGTGGAGCGAAATCGAATGCCGTTTGAATTTTGAAAATCGACCCGTTAGATCTCGAGATATCAGGGGGGTCGTAAACAGCCCCCCCCCCCCCTGCCACTAATAGGGGTAGCCAGGAGCCTGCCACTAATAGGGTTAAGGATATCGGCCTATTGCGGCTAAAGTTGACCAGCTGTCATGCTTGATGATATCTCAAATTGTACCTCAGTTATTTTGGCATCAAATTACAACTCCTAATTTGTATCACACCCATAAAAAAATAACAAGAGAAAAGTTTTCCGACACACCTGCAAAGGGCGCATTTACGGACTACCCCATCAAAAAGCGCCCATGCCTCTCATGTAAAAGCGCCCTATTAAAAACAACGGTTTGCCACCTAACTAAGTAGCCTATTTGGACGTGTCAGCCCATTAACCATTTATGCTGTGAAGGCTAAGGTAATGGTAAGGTGAGCGCTCTAATATTCAAAGTGTTCAATGAAATGTGTCCCAACCACAAGATGCTGTTTCTCTGGGCTGAAGAATAGGGCGCAAATAGGGTGGACGCAATTACGGTTGGAACACATTTTTCATGAGCTTCAAATATGGCGAGGACAGCGAAGCCACGGTGATGATAAACTTTCAAAACTACCATTAAACGAGCAATTAACAATGATTATTAGTTGAATCACTATCTCTAAGATAAACCATGACACTAGCAAAGGTCGAAATAGACTGTTTCGCGTAAGAAAATAGAGGAAATCACAAAAAATGGTCTGCGAGAAAGCTGAGACACCTCACCTGCCCCCATGGACCGGAATAAGAGCGAGTTATTGGTGGTGAAGTAAATGCACACATTCGAGCATTCATTCGAATCGAATTTTGGACAGGAGGAAGGTGTGGCGCATTTAAGAACATGGCGCAATATGACCTCTCTCCCCTACATATCGTCGTCAGCAACAGTATGTTGTCAAATCTATTCGGTTGAATAAAATCGTTCAGAGTTGATTTCACACGAATCTGAACGATTTGATACGACCGATTAGATTTTGTGACACGATTGCTGATGACGACATGTAAATACGTGCGGGATATAATGCCCCGAACTGGCCAACATTATGCAGATTGCAGGACGTCTGTCGAAAGCTGGAACAATACGATCGAGACTAAACGGCTAACTTGCAGAAGATGGTACGAATTCAAGGCATGTTTCTTTAATTGGGCGGAAATTACAATTACAAGCTACTCGACCTTAAAAGACCTAGTGGTGGTTTATTTCTTACACCTTCTACAAAGAAAGTTTACTTCTCACCATGACAGCTCTCCAAAATATCTCAGCCCCCACAGCAACCCCTGCTGCCTCCCAGTCTCACCCCTGGGGACGGCCGGATGGCGCCGCTCGCCGGCGGACCTCCTGCCGCAGATCCTCCACCACGGTCTGGCGAGTGGTCCGCTCTTCGACCACTGCCTGCTCCAGGCGGACCATCGCATCGTGAAGTGCGGCGTACTCCCCCTTGAGCTTCTTTGTCTCCTTATTGTCTTTTGCCACCACCTCGTTTAGAATGGTCACTTTTTCACGAAGGGGGGCCACCACTCCACGAAGGGCGGACATCTCTTCACGAAGGGCGGACACCACTTCACGAAGGGCGGACACCTCCCGGCGAAGGGCGGCCAGGTCTTCACGCACATCTGTCATCTCCATCTGGAACGCAGAATTACAGTTTTTTACGTTTCTACTCATCATAAATCAGTGGCCTAGTACGTAGCGTTACGTCGTACGCATTACGACATGTCGTGCAGCGTCGTGTCTAATCACGTCACAAAACGACATGTCATTACGTATTACGACATGTTTTGTCACGCAACCCGTATTGTTGCATACCAGGCAGGCAAGCTTGGCAGTCAGGCAGACAGGTCTTATGTAGGTAACCAATATAGAAATTGACTATCGTTACTAGTTTTTCGCAAAAAAAGAGATAATAAAAAAAACGTTATCACTTCGAAAGTCTACCCCTGGCCAGGCCGTTTTCATAACGCGGACGGTGAGGGGCCGGTTCGACCTTTGGCGATTAGCTCCTGACCTGATGCACTTAGAAACACCAGATGTATAGGGTAAGTGAACTCATACGACATCTCGCCCCTGTTCAAATCTAGTGACTGACACAGTCACACAGACAGTTACACAGACAGTCACAAAGACAGTCACACAGACAGTCACACAGACAGTCACACAGACAGTCACACAGACAGTCACACAGTCACACAGACAGTCACACAGATAGTCACACAGACAGTCACACAGCCAGTAACACAGACAGTCACACAGTCACACATACAGTCACACAGCAGGACCTCGGCTAAGGAATTTCGACTGGGCAGATGGGGACAAACCCGACTCCAGAATGTCATATACAACCTAATATACACCGTATAAGCGGACCTTTACACCACGCGTAACATACATATTATATATACCGTAGGAAAAGGTATACCAAATCCTGCCTAATCAGTTAACCCTCGCCGGCACAGGGGGGGGTTGATGCAACCCCCCCCCCCTAAGGTTTTTCGCAAATAACTCGCGTAAAAAGCGGCCGATCGCGACGAAACTTTCAGTACCCTCGCATTGATCAATTTTACACCTACCCTGAAAATTTCGTGACCCTGACCCCAATGACCTTTGACCTGTGCCCTCTTTTCTGTGACCATGTTTGGCCGAAATCGCGGTTCGGCGCATGTCGGCTCGCATTAGCCGCGCGTTTGCAAGCTTTTCGTGGTTTCAAACGTTCAAACATGTGATTTGATGTTGCTCCCATGCATTAGGGTGGGTGTCAAGGTCACCTGAAGGTCAGGTCAGGTCATTGACCTTTGGTGACCTCGGGTGACCTCGGTTCACTTTTTCGAGTTTTACATGTTTCTATGCTAGTTTTTGGAGCTGAATTCGAATTTAGCAACCATTTGAACATTTACGAAGTAGTTTTGGTGCCTTCGTAACATGTTACGAAGCTGTCCGAGGCGGTTGACACGTATTACGAATACCCGTCACAACCCCTACCGGTTGACCTGACCTGACCTGACCCGACCTGGTCTAAATGCTTGAAGACATCATCTCTGATCAAAACTAACACGATATTCGTGATCAGCACCCCGGAAAACCACATAGCAGCCACACTTTACGACTTTCTAACAGGTCCCGATTTTCCCGGTTTTCGGGTCATTGACCTGACCTGGAAGGTCACCCGATGACCTAGGACCTTAAAATTGGGTATCATTGGCTTCCTCTCGTGACGGGCAACACGCTCGTTTTTTCCGCGAAGCTCTAGCTCGATCAGGGGCCAAACGCGAGGGGGGTCGTACCAACCCCCCCCCCCCTTGTGCCGTCGAAGGACTCAAAATGGCCTGTGCCGGCGAGGGTTAAGGCATCCGTAAACATGTCTACACAAACTTCTACGAAAGGTTTCGAGGCCAGCGTAGGGCGCTCATAAGACGAAGTCGAGCCCCCGGAGGCTAGCAATATGGCCCTTTAGGGTCCGCTTTGGGACCCTAAATGGCCAAATGTGGACGTGGGGCCCAAAGAAGCCAGTGCGTAGCCCTTTCAGACGTAGCCCTTTCAGCGTGGGGCAATATAAGGACAAAGTGGTCCCTGTGGGGTCCTCTAAGACCAGCGGCGTGGGGTCTTCTGAGGTCAAATTGGGGCCCTCTGAGAACAGCTTGGGGCTATCTGAGGACAATGCGGGCCTTCTTAGGCAACGTGGAGCCCTCTGTCTTCTGGAATTCTAAGGCTGGCGCTGGGACATCAGAGGCCATCTCGATGGCCTCGATGGTCAGACTGTAGCCCTTATGCATGTTTAACCCTCGCCGGACCTATTGGTTTTCTACATACGCGTCGGCCGAGGGGGGCGGGGCGGGTACGACCCCCCTCGCCGTTTCGCCCCTGGTGGAGCTAGCGCGTCGCGGAAAAAAACGAGCGTGTGCGCCGTTACAAGACGCAGAGATTGGTACCCAATTTTAAGGTCCTAGGTCAACCGGTGACCTCTGAGGTCAGGTCAAGTGCCCCAGGGTACGGTTCAGTTTTTGGTGAATAACTTCGCAAAAAACGGCCGCAGATCCGCGATTTTGGCAGCATCGTGTTCGCCTCACTCAGGCGCGTCGAATGGTATACTTTTTGTTCGGTCAGGTCAACTTAGGGTGTTGACCTCAGGTCAAGGTCAGGTCAGCACCCCCAGGTCACGAAGTTGGTCGAAAGAGGTCATGTCGCATATCATTCGATTCGGCAGGTCTTCCTGAGTCCATTGGTGGCTTTCTCGACTCGCTAGCTCAATTTGATCGGGAGTTATTGACGAAAAACTAATATGACCTTGATGACGTCATAAATGACGTCACGGAAGGCCAACATTGCAAAAGTGACGCATCTAACCTTGCAAGGAATGCATCAAATCACGATTCTGTGTGCTTGAGATAGTTGGAGATCGTTCCCGGCGCCAGAATAGCAGTTTTCATTTTTCCCCATTGACTTATAATGGTGAGGTCACGAAAATGACCTGACCTCATATGACCTTTAGGAAAAATCCGAGATATACAAGTTGTGAGACTCATAATGGATACTAGATCCTGCAAGTTTCATTTCTTTTTGACATCTCCTCTGGCAGTGAGGGCGTTGCGAAGTTGCGACATCTGAAGACCGTGCAAAGGTTCACTTATGAAGTCATAGGTCAGTGACCTGACCTGACCCAAAAATGCGGTTGGTGTCAAAAGATGCGGCTTGGATCAAAGGTTAGGTATGCCAAGTTTCAGCTCTCTATCGCCAGCGTGTTCGGAGCTATCGCGAAAAAAAACCTATGGGGGGCGGCACCCCCCCTTGGCCGGCGAGGGTTAAGCCCTCTGAGGTCGAGACGGACCCCTAGATGCCGGCATGACCTCTCAGAGGCCGGTACAGGCTTACTAAAACCGGCATGGGTTCCTTGAGAGCGGAGGGGGCCTTTAGAGGCTTACTCAAGGGCTCTCATGAGCCATCGTGGGCCCTGTGAGGTCAGCATAGGCCTTCAGTGAGGCCATTGTGGGTGTAGAGTCCGTGTCCACCAGAGACGTGTATTGGCTGCCTGCCAAGCACCAACTGACCCGGCCGGCCAGGGAACTGACCCGGTCGGCGGTCACAACATTACGTGACCACAGTAGGGCGGGGCTGCCACTGGCCGCAGTGCAGACAGCGCGGACGCCAGTTGATACAGCCCAGACACCAGTTTTGTCAGATATCGTCACCAATTTTTCAGGATACTTTTTTCAGGATACTTTTTTTCAGGATACAATTTTTCGGGGCAGCACAGAGAGGAGGACAGAGAGCGTGTCACGCGTCGCTCCTCACGAAAGCCGTCCGCAGGGGTCGGTGGTGGTGGGTGTGTCGGCGGATCAGCCTCTGAATCGAGTGGCGGCACCGCAACTGGCTCTTCTTCCGGTGCCTGGAGTGACTGAGGGATCCTGGTCGGGGTCAGCCTGGACGATGGCGGCGGCGACGGTCCCGGTCTGGTGCCCACTGCTGACCTGGCTGTGGCCAGCACAGAGGCAGCGTTACCTCTGGCAACAGCGATGGAGACTCTTTGTGAGAGCCAGACTGTTTCGCGCTTGTCGCCGGTGCGGGCTGTCAGCCGACGGCCAAGCTCATCTCATCTCATCTCATCTCATCTCATACTGTATTAAGGACATCCGCAATATACTTGCGGCTATTACTGCCTTTCGTCACGTGATAAAACAAATGAACGTCAATCGGCAATGGGAGAGTAGGCACCACAAAATGACAACGATCAAACATACAACTGTCACACGCACGCACACACATACACACAAAAACTCAGTCGCGTCTTAAATCGGTTCCAACTCTGAGGTGCCGCCTGAGGCGGCAGCCAAACAGGTGCGGAGGTAGCCGCGGCAGGTCGGGCGGCAGCGCGTTATAAGCGGCCGGCCCGCGGCACTGAAACCGCCTCCTCCCCATCTCGGTGCGGCACCGCGGCACGTGGAGCAGGTGGTCCTGTCGAGTGTCGCGTGACCACGTCCCGGTCACGACCGCGGGCCTCGGCCACAGTGGCGAGACCGGCTGCCAGCTCCTCGGGTTCCCCGCTGCGGCGTACCTTGTGCAGCAGGCTGAGAGTGTGGTACGACACTAGCTGATCTGCGCTGAGCCACTCCAGCCGCCGCAGCAGGTCAGATGCGTGGTCATACTTCCTGCGACCGAAGCTCCTTCATGAGACAGGCTGCAGCCGGACCCAGGACACCAGACGTTTCGACCGCAAAAGGGACGAAGACGTATCGCTCACAGAGAGCTGCATATCGAGTGCGCTTGCGCTCTTCCGCACAGCGGGCGGCGCTCCCAGGATTCAGCGCGGAGCTGATGATGGCCGTTGATGAGTAAGTGTCGCAGCAGGTAGCGTCCCATACGAGGATCATCCCCCGGCTGAAAGGGAAGAGTGTAATCCCATCGGGACGTCGGCCATCTCCTCTGTCAAGGCCGGTGGGCTCCAGCACACTCTCAAGTCCTGCGCTGCTGAGTGCTCGCCGTAGCACGTCATTTAGGTTAGCGTGACGTGCGTGGCGGCCAGCACTCTTGGCACATGAGAGACCGTGGCGTCCCAGTTGGTCAACAGGGCGATGGCAGAGCTGACAGTTATGGACAGACAGTTCGTGAGGAGCGACGTGTGACACGCTCTCGGTCCCCCTCTCTGTGCTGCCCCGGAGCATGCGCATGTCCCACTTTCACAAGTGGGTCTAGGGCTTGAAGGCCCCAAGACATGCCTATTTTTGAAAGTTGCTGCTGCGATGTCTAACAATACCGCTACTGTCTTCCGGGCATTCATTTTACACATTGTGACCAGACAGTTCCCAAAAGCTATGATAGCCTGGCCACAAATGACGTCAGAAAGACGTCAGGTCCTGCATTTTTCGACAAAAAAGGTTTCATGGTAAGAGATGTCAATTGACAGGCCTACAGTTTTGAAGACACAAAGTTTCTTTTTTATCAATAAAAGGTGCAAAATTAATAGAACTATAAACCTGCTATCTCATACTTATGAAAATTTTGGATTTTGACCCCTTAGAGTAAGGGATGGATAAAATAGCAAAAAAGTATTCCACAAGGTTTTCGAAGTTCAAATAAAAAACGAAATAAATAATATGGCCCTATCATCTTCTATCCACGTACCAAATTTGAGAAACATACCTCTCTTTTTAGCTAAGTTATAGCGGGAAAAAACTGTTCTTAAATGATGACGCATAATTTCCCAAATACATTTTTAGCAATTCTTACCACGTAGCGCAAAACAAACACCGCGATGAGACTTCCCGTGACGAGCTGCATCGAATCAATACTTATTTTTTTTATAAAATATCAACTTTAACCCTCGCCGGCACAGACCATTTTGCGTCCTTCGACGGCACAAGGGGGGGGGGGGCTGGTACGACCCCCCTCGCGTTTGGCCCCTGATCGAGCTAGAGCTTCGCGGAAAAAACGAGCGTGTTGCCCGTCACGAGAGGAAGCCGATGATACCCAATTTTAAGGTCCTAGGTCATCGGGTGACCTTCCAGGTCAGGTCAATGACCCGAAAACCGGGAAAATCGAGACCTGTTAGAAAGTCGTAAAGTGTGACTGCTTTGTGGTTTTCCGGGGTGCTGATCACGAATATCGTGTTAGTTTTGATCAGAGATGATGTCTTTAAGCATTTAGACCAGGTCGGGTCAGGTCAGGTCAGGTCAACCGGTAGGGGTCGTGACGAGTATTCGTAATACGTGTCAACCGCCTCTGACAGCTTCGTAACATGTTACGAAGGCACCAAAACTACTTCGTAAATGTTCAAATGGTTGGTAAATACGAATTCAGCTCCAAACACTAGCCTAGAAACATGTAAAACTCGAAAAAGTGAACCGAGGTCACCCGAGGTCACCAAAGGTCAATGACTTGACCTGACCTTCAGGTGACCTTGACACCCACCCTAATGCATGGGAGCAACATCAAATCACATGTTTGAGCGTTTGAAACCACGAAAAGCTTGCAAACGCGCGGCTAATGCGAGCCGACATGCGCCGAATCGCGATTTCGGCTAAACATGGTCACGGAAAAGAGGTCACAGGTCAAAGGTCATTGGGGTCAGGGTCATGAATTTTTAAGGGTAGGTGTAAAATTGATCAATGCGAGGGTACTGAAAGTTTCGTCGCGATCGGCCGCTGTTTACGCGAGTTATTCGCGAAAAATCTTAGGGGGGGGGGGTTGCATCAACCTCCCCCCCCCCTGTGCCGGCGAGGGTTGAAATTTCACCTAGTTTGACCTGAACTTGACCTGACCTTCACCAGAACGTAGCCTAAAACTGGCCTAGAAGGTTGCATTACCCACATAAGCACATTTGTCATGTAAAATGGACCATTAAACATGTATTACGCGACACCTTCATATTGTGATCCTCAGTGACCTGACCTCTGTTACCTGACCTGGTATCAGTGAACTCAAATAGCAAAATATGTGTTTCACGAGCAATTTGTGCGCGCCAACGGGGCGCGGGCTAACAAAAAGATCCGTTTTTTATTTCAGGGGATTATTTCAAAAAACACTTTTTATTTTGTGGTTCAAAATAAAAACAAATATATAAAAAAGAAGATAGTGGTTTTGCAGCGCTGCTTGTTTTATATCTTTTTGTTTTTTTTTTTTCAACATTTTTATCTATCTTCAAAACTTTGGGCTGGACAGCTCTACCCACCAAACCTCTTTTGGGTCGGAAATGCCTGAACATGACGTGACTCTGACGTCATTTACGTCCAACCTATCATAGGCTGTGAAAAAAGGTCACAAGGTGTAAAATCGATTTACAAGAGGGTACTGAAATGTTCGCGACGATCGGCGCATTAGTTTGAGAGATAATGCGAAACGACTAGAAGAGGGAGGTGGCAAAAATATCCCCCACCAGGGCGCGGGCTAAAAAGTTTCCACTGGGTATCCTAAGGTAAAGGTAATCACAAGATTGTGGATACGATGCTGGATGTTCTCTACGATATTATACTAAGAACAGTGTAAACATGGGCGACAAAATATGAAAATGAATCAGGAAATTGATTGATTTTCGCATCAGGTTTGACTGCTTGAAGAATATTTGAAGTGCCTCATATTTACTCCTATAGAGTGGGCAAAATCTCGTGACTGCAGAGGCAACTGGCAGCCACTGCGGGACATTTGCCCCCTTGCAATAGCGCGGAACACCTTCAATTAAAGGGGCATTTCTGACTTTTAGCTCCATTCTTTCCATGCAAAGCCAATAGGGCTTATGTTAAAATGCCGAAATCAAGGGGACACGGTTCCCCGGTGCCCCCCGTTCCACCCCTTATGCCGTCTCCCCAGTTAACCCGCGCGGGGCTGGGTGGGGGGTAAATTTTACCCCTCCTCGCGAATTTTTGCAATATCTCAAAAAACAGCGGCGCGCAGCGCCGCCAAACTTTCAGTACCTTTTCTTACATCAATTTGACACGTTCCCTGAAAATTTGAGCGAAATCCGTCGGAAACTTTTTGAGAAATTGACGTTTTAGTGACGTCATGTTCGCCATTTTCACCTCAAAAACGGCAAAATTTCAAACGCCGCTAACATCTTCATTTTTAAAGGAATCAAGACGTAACAAAACGTTATACGTAATTCTACTTTGTCTATCAAATGGCTATCTCAGTTTTTTGAAAATTTTGGATTTTGACCCAATTTAAAAAAACTGACTTTTTTGGGAAAATAGTTATAAAATCCAAAATTCTGAGTGTATCGTAAAAACCGAAATATATGTCAAAGAAGTGGTCTATGTGCACATACTTACCAATTTTTAGAAGAATCGGTTCAAAAATGTGGGAGTTATTCAAAATTTTATGACGTAACGACACACAAAAATTTTGAAAAATGATTTTTTTTGAAGTTCTAGACCTCGTACGGAAGCAAAAATAGCACCATTCGATTCGCCGTGAAAAACCGCATCTGATAGACATCTTTTTAGGCCTTAACAACCAACTTCAAAATTTGACCTCACTTGACCTGACCTTGACCTGACCTCGACCTGAAATTCATCCAGAGGTGGTCCATATCACTTATTGAGTGTGCCTATTAAATTCTATGACTAAAATGACCCATAAAACATGTGTCGCACATGCCCTTTTCTATATTTTGTTTTTGGTGACCTGACCTGACCTGACCTTGACCTTGACCTCTGAATGATATTGTATGCAACGAATATTGTCTTGGTAGCCTAAGAACACGTTTTGGGCAATCAGTCTCAGTCCATGACTCCATTCTTCGGCAACTACGGTGCAAGGCCGATACTGTAGGAACTTGCAATTTGTACCCTTGACCTGACCTTGACCTTGACCATAAACTTTAAATTAAGTACACGTTTTTAGTTGTTCGTGATGAGATCTTTCGATTGGCGTTCGAATTTTCCAAATCGGACCATTAGTTCGGGAGATAACAGGGGGGGGGGTAAAATTTACCCCCCACCAGCCCCGCGCGTTCGGCTGGAGACCCCAGCCCCGCGCGGGTTAATGCATGTTAGCAGAGGCCAGACACGCCAACATACAGTATACAGGCAAATGAAGCACAGACATCCAAACACATCAAGACGGGTACCTAGCACACAGAGAAGACACACAAAGACTCACAGAATCACATACACACCGTTACATAAACACCTATGGTCTGACTATAGACACAGACGCACAAAACACACTCAGACAACAGACACAGGGACACACAGAACCCCCCCCCCCCACACACACACACAGGTCGGTCCTGCTCACCTGATATTCGCCGCCTCCGCCGTGGTCGGCTCCGGTGGACAGAGCTCAGTACCGTCCACACACTGTTGGACCACCCGCTCTGTCCACTGACCCGGCCGGTGGACGCAGTGCAGCTCGTGCTCCTCCGTCGGCCTTTGTCCCGGTCTGGACCGCTGCAACTGCGCAGTATGTAATAACCCCGGGGCGGGGCGCCGCTGAGTCATGGTACCGGTTAGCGCCGACCTCGGGCCGCTGGGCGACTGCAGCGCCCCTACCGGTCACCGGCGTCGTACTTTAACTAATGGGGAGCCGGGGCGTTCATGGAACACTGTTGATGTAAGTGCACATTTGCCTCGTAAAGGCTAATCAGCAACAACAACAAAATAAAATGGGAGCTCTCTACATTCGTCAAGTACTTGGATGTCCGGGTTCCAATGGGTCTTGTCCCGTAGCGAGGAGACTCTAGCGTGCCCAGTGAGTCGGCGGCGCGGCGTTCCAGACTGATGACGTCAGCGGAAAGCCACCATGGATTCGTGATAACACGGGCCGGATGGCGGTGCAGCAGCCCCCCTCACCCCTCCCCGGCCGTCTGGAACTCCCCCATCCCTCCGGACACCGCTTGCAACTCGGTAATGTAAAACATAGTGAGCAGCAGACATGTGCGGGGATGGAAGAGGCGGATCTATGATCTCAGTGGATATCTCGACAAGTTGGAGGGGTTGGACCTACATCTCATCCCTCGCCCGGCCAGGGGTTGGGGAGGGGGAGATAGATTAACCCGCGCCCGTACATGGGGGTGGTAACCCCCTCCAACCCCCCCCCAGGTAGTCTTTCTGCTCTGCACTCCACATTGTTAGAGCTAGAAGCCTGATTTTTCGTATAGCTGCTCCTCTATCCTCTCTTCATGTCCACTGAAAATTTGAGGTTTCTGTGATTTTTGGTTTCGGAGATATGACCTTGTTTTTCAGGTCATGTCATGACCCAAATGACCAATTCTCAACAACTTGCGTTGGCTATAGGCCATGTGAGCTTTTGTCACCTTCCTTTCGGGCTTTTTTTGCCAGTCTTACCTCCCACCTATCATGGAACATGTTGTTCGACGATGTACAGATGTCAAGGTCAGGGTCAAGGTCAACCTAGTTCATCTAAAAAAATTGCGTTTGAGGCAAGCTGAATTTACTTTTCGTGATTTTTTTTTACTGCATTTTTTTGTAAAAGCTTCTCAGATCATGATTTCATGCAATATGGACACATAAACAATCGGTGCACACATCAGTATACACACAGACACACACAGACATACAAACACTTATCATTGACTTTGACCTAACTTGACCTGAAATGACCTCAGCAGCAAAAATCTGGTCGGGTAGTGTGAGTGACAAAGAGGTTCTAGCTGGCTTAGCACCAGAAAACGGCATCGTTATCGGTATATGATTTGATTTGCAGCGCACTTGATATCCAGCGGTGACCCAACGGTGACCAACGGTGACAACGGTGACGAGGGTTAACCCGCGACCGCCTGGGGGGGGGGGGTCGGATCCGACCCCCCTCCGTTTTTCTTGAATAACTTATGAACCGCCTACGCTATCGACTTGAAACTTGGCATACCTTCTTCCCCATCAATTTGACGTCTCCTGTGCATTTTTTTAAGAAAAAAAATCTAATTTTTTTGAGATATATCGATTTTAGTGACGTAACTACATGGCGTTTTCAGTCAAAAAGTGGTAAATGTTTTAAAAAATCGCCAAAAATCAGGGTTTTAAGCAAATTGCAAATTAAGGACATGAGTAGACGCAGCTTAATGAGTTCTTTAAAATGGCTATCTCTGATTTTCCATGAAATGCGTTTTTCACCCCTAAAATTTCGAAAAAAAACTACATTTTTTGGAAAACAGCTAATAAAATCCAAAATTTTGAGAGTTTCCAAAAAACCGGAATATATGTTATAGAGCTCTATTAGAACATTAGATGTCCCAAATTTCAACTTTCTATCTTGATTTTGACCCCCAAATTCTAAAAAATAGCTCCAACATGCATAGGGCATGGTGACGTCATAAGCATTTTCGTGAATTATAGGCACTTCTAAACATTGCATGTGAACACAAATGGCACCACTAGATTCCTGGGACAAAGCTCGTCTAGAAAAGTCAAAAGTGCATTTTCATGTCAAAAATACAAAGTTGAAAAATTGACCTTTTTTCTTAGCCCTCGTTTAGTTATGTATGGTATAAACGATTTTTTATGCTTTCAATGCACACTTTTCCACCAGCACAGTGACTTGGGGTCACATATAACCATTACCATCGGATTCGGCGTGAAAAATAAGCCATAAAACATGTGTCGCACGCCCATGTAGCAGAAAGTGAAAACCGTGACCTTTCGTGACCTGACCTGACCTTGAACCGTACTTAGTATGTCCCCTATACGCACATGGTACCTTCACTAGGTCTTTGAGGTCATTTTTGGTGAGTTTCGAGCAGCAGCTGTCGATTCCGCTGTCCGTAAGCCTAATCATGCAAAACCCCAGAATTTGACCTTTGACCTGACCTTGACCCGAAAGTTGACCTCAATCTTAAAATCTTAACCCTCACCCGTAAACGGCGATCTGCCACCTTCGCCCATGCAGGGGGGGGGGGGTTGGTGCGACCCCCCCTTGGCGTTTGAAAACGGAGCGTCGTAGAGCTTAGCGGAAAAAACCAACGGATTGCTCGTAACGAGATCTCGCGATTGGTGGTATATTTTTTGGTCCTAGGTCAACATTTGACCTACTTTTGACCGGTCAAAGGTCAAATTTTCGGAAAAAATAGACTTTTTTCAACCTTCCGCGGCGATTGCGGCAAAACGGTGGGAGATATCGACTTGAAACCTTCACTATCGTGTTCCTTGATCAATTCTCTATCGTTTGGTATGTATTTCGTTTCCCTAGCTCTAAAAATGGCGCGTTGGGAGCGCCGGAAGTCGGCAAGGTCACAGTCGGCGGCAGAAATTCGAAAAATAAAAATTTAAATTTTTGAAATCTGATTGTATTTTTGGATTTGGGAGGTCCATTTGCTCCCTATAGAAGCTAATATTGCTGCATATTCCCATTGAGGTGACAAGGATTAGTAAAATAGTGGTTCGGGCGCTTTTCAAAAATAGTACCGGACGCTGTTCCTCTTGTGACGTCATAGCTCCGTGACCTGACCTGACCCGGTCAAGTTTCTTATACCATATGATAGCCAATACTTGCCCCAACATGCATGGGAAGTTTCATCACGATCCATCAACCGATGTCCGTACCACCGGCAGGAAACCTCGGGCGTTGGCACTCAGTTTGTGAAAATCCGGCCGGAGGCTGTTCCCTTTGTGACGTCATAACTCCGTGACCTGACATGACCCGGTCAAATTTTTTTTTATCAAAAGATGCGCAAGGTTTGCCCCATCAGGTACCCAAAATTTGGCGGCGCTGCGCGCCGCCGTTTTTGCACTATTTCCGAAAAACCTCAGGGGGGGGGGTTGCACCAACCCCCCCCTACATGGGCGAGGGTTAAGAGTGCTTTGGGAAGGTATCGTAGAGACCTTTCGAACGCCGCCTCGCGGGGCTCGATGCGACCATTGGTTCTCGAGATAACAGGGGGAGGGGGTCGGATCCGACCCCCCCCCCCCCCCAGGCTGTCGGAAATAGCCCAGGCGGTGCCGGGTTAAGCGGGAGGGAGGGGGGAGAATGAAAAGCTTTTATACATAAATAAGTAAAAGTCTATTCTTGAATGAAATGGAAACGGTTAAAATGCACAAAATACGGGGGTCACAAATGCGGTTCACTGAATCGTTCTCGTAGGGCCACGTCGGCCGCGTCGTACGTAAGGCCACGTCGGCCACGTCGTGCACCGGGCCGTATCGCACCGGTGGAGTCCCGTCGAAGACTGTATGGCCCCCGTCCCGTCTCAGCCCTCGTGGTAGCACAACACGTGGTCCTGAGAACCAGGACAGGGGCCAGATGACACATATGTGCCCGGCGTGGCGCGGCGGACCGACCGCCGCGCTCCGAGCGCCGGCCGTCTTTGCGAAAATACCTAAAAATACCAACGTATTCGCTCGCTAACACCTAGGTTTACCAATGTTGTACAAGCGGGACATTTTTATTGGTCCACCTACTAGAGTCTAGAGATGTCAATCGGACACTAACTTTTTGGTATACCGATACCAAACCGATACCAACTTGGCATTTGGTGTTTGAATCCTAATGTGTTTGGTATTTTGTTGGTATCATGAACCCTCACTAACGTATAAGAGGCTGGAGAAATTGGTAAAAAGTTGGTATTTCCCTAATGTTCCCAAGTTGGTTTGTTTTCGGTATTTCCCCATGGTTTTGGTTGGTATTTCGATTTGTATCGGTATTCCGATTTTCCGTAATTGACATCGCTACCACCTACCCTTTAAATATCGTGTTTCTAGATGCCATATAAGTCAGGGGCTTATATATGTCGTAGGCATCGGGTGAAATCCGGCATTTCATGAAATGCCTAGGCATTACATGGAATGCCGGCAAAAACTGAAATCTTCGTAGAATTAGGCGCGTTACAGCGAATGCCTGAAAATTTTAGGCATTTCATGAAATGCCAGGCGGAGGCCAGACACTCCCTGAAATATGGTCAAAATTAACTGAGTACACTCGTTGCCTAGGCATTACATGAAATGCCCGACTGACGGCCGGCACTTTCTGAAACGATTACCGCAGCTGTGTGGTTTCCCGCGCTTTTTTCGTATCCATAGAAACCACGACTTGTCTGCGCGTGCAGCGTCTTAGCGGCGGCGTGGGAAGGGGTTTTCGGCTGGCTGTCATTGGGCTGTCAGTTGCGTTGGAGGTGTAGCGGGTGGTTTTCGTTTGTCAGTAGCTAGCTGAGTCGTCTCATTTTATTGTACCGAGTAGCCCACAATGGAGGCCGAAGATGGCAGAGAGGGCTCAGGGGACAGCGGACGAGACAGGCAGGGAACTCAAGACAGCGAACAAGACTCGGAACCAATGAAGACTAGATTTTATCAGGCGCTTGATGAGCACTACAAGACGAAAAACAAGAAACAGGCTATGTACAGGGAGGACATTCAGAGGATCATAGAAGATCTACAGGCCGCGAAGCAAAGAAAGCAGCGCGGGGAACGTCTGACTCGCATGCAGTATCATTATGTGTCTACGTATGACATAATGCAAAT